TCCTTATCCCGCAGGAATTACGTACGCGATACACAAAGATACGGCTTAGCAAAAAATTTTATTCCCAGTTACGCTCATGTAACCGCGGACACACTTCCTCGCGATCTAAATAGAACTTCCTAGTCTCCTCCTTCATTAACGTGAGTTGCAATTCGATTCATATCAGATAACATCGAACTAGTTCCCCGTCGAAGTCACGTCGCATTCTCCGTCCGGTTCTTCTAATACAATCCCGACTCAATGCCTATTCTTCATAACGTAGTGAGATTGCCGGTATTAAGCGGAGATCGCGATACCTCGAGGTGCAGGCACAACCAGAAGAGAGCGCGCATCGCGCGAGCAGAAACGAATTGAATAATAAACCGCTTTTTTTTTCTATCGGACACGCGATACGCTGCTAACCCATACCTCGTAATACGTAATGCAGATCCGTTCGCGATATCGCAACGCTCTCTCGCCCGCTTCCCCGCGCACGTTCAACTTATTCCTCCTCGTTCTTGATATTCCACGCGAGCGTTACGTGAATGCTATAATTAAACGCGAAAATTAGATAGACGCATCGCGGAAGACAATTTACTCCATCTTAATTCTGCGCGATACGTGCCATGTACATGTATTATAAACAGAATGGGAAAAGTTGTTGCGCGACGAAAACACGGCTGAATATGCAACGTTATAATAAATTGCGCATGAAACGTAAAACGTAGCGACGCAAGCAGATATTTCACTCGCGGATACGACATTAATTGAGCCTGCCAGTGTTAAACAGGGTATTGTACGCAGGTATAGAGAAACTCGTAAATTCCATGCGCGATGAACGTGATCGCTTCTCATTCTAGACTCCACGTATTACTATTGCAACGGAGACACGTCCATTCATACGTCGCAGCAGGGCAACGGCGGTTGCACCAGCGGTGGTCCGGAAAGCAGCGCCGACGTAGCCAGTCGTTCGCCTCTGGCGGCTACCAGAGCTAGCAGCGGGGCCAGCGCGGCCTCACCGACCGGAAGCGCATGCACGAAGCCGGACCACACCTCCGCCACGCCGACGGACCTCTACCTGGCTTGATGGCCGAACTGCACGACGGGAGAACGACTTTTGATCGAGTGTTCCTCAACGGTCAACGGAGAGACAGCGAGCTGCGACAACGGACGCCATATCACGAAGAGACATCATCTCGACAAGCAATGATCTCCTTTTAACTGCTTCGGAAATGCACGATGGAAAATTCCGAGTGCAAAAGATACCGATGAATCCATAGGGAAGATTATAAATATGCCGAAGAAGATTAGAATGTATACTCTTCACGCCGATGAATCTGGATTGGTTTTCGAAGAAAACGATTCTAGAATTAGTTACGCTCGGAGTTTTAAATTCTATCACGTTCAAAATGAATAACAGGACATGAAAATTTGTTTTAATCGATGAGCGCGCGACGTGATTTCGCGTAAAATGAGCTTGACGCGAGTGACGGTCACGTCAGAGCATTGGCGTACAGATGAATTTTCTCATGTTGCCGCTGTTCTTCACAATGTAAACGTTTTTACCCTCTACGTTTTTATTTATTAATCGTAAACCCGAAGAATCATCGACTGATCGACTTATCAATTATTAATGGCGGCAATGCGAGTGAATCTCGAATGTTCGAAAGCGTTGAAGATGGTGTCGCCGCATCTCTGGAGAGCCGCGGTGGTAGGTAGTTTAATTTAATGATCCTCAGTTAGTGTAATTTCCACGCGGTGATCGTGGCCGCCCTCGCGAGCGCCCGCTCGCGTGGCAGACATAGTCGCTGACCATGTAAATATATATAAATTGAACATATATAAATAAGAATAAAAAATATATATATATTATATATATATGATTCGTGTAAACAAAGTCAAGCGCCCCAACGGCACGTTTTTCTCTCCTGTAGGCACGACAACCCCTCACCCCTTTAAGAATATCGTAGAATATATAACACGATAAGTTTGAGATTTTTAAATCAGGAGTCGACTGTAATGATCACTACTGTTAAGGATATTATATATATTTTTTGTAGAAACCAAAGACCATATACACACGCGCGAGTAAACAACTCAACACATGCACGTACACACGCGTACATACGCACGCACGCAGCACGCACCGATACACGACATGTATACATCGTACGAATCGTCGAACGAACGAGCACGTCGCGCAGTTGCGGCAAAAAAAGCGTGACCTTTGTGTCGGTTTTGAGCGGCCTTTTCACACGGATAAGTAATGCGTATAAATCGCGAGCGGCGTGTAGGATCGACATAAAAATTGAAAAAAAAAAAAAAAAAATTACTGAAAAAAATTCAAAGAATTAATATTTTTTATTTAAATGATTTTTAAATTTTGTTAAGATAAGTTACGTACTAACCGCGAGTCATATCTCGAGATATCGATCACCACGTTGCATTGTACATACAGTGGACGTTCTTTTTCTTATTCGTAGTAATTAGCGCAAGTCGGCGCGTGGACACTTCCTCGACAGCCTGACGATCACGCTCGTTCTGCCGTTCCATTCGACGCATTCGCCACGCTTCCGCTTTACGGCGGAAGTCGTACTAGTTCTCGTTCGTCGTCGGGCGGAACGCGCCGGAGAAGATTATCACGAAGGCACAATTAGCGCCGGGCGTCAGAGATTTTTAATGAGAAATTACGTTCGCAAGCACACGCGCGTTCTCTGATTTAATTATCGTGTTAATCATTGATGTTTCAGCGGCACGCGCTACTAGATTTCATGCGTCTCGAATTTACTCAGTTTGCCGGATAATGTTGTAGATTGAAAATTATTTGACGATTCTACTTAATCCGACAATTTCTAGTCACATTCAAAAGAGATGCGCTAGTAAACCAAATATTGCATATTGCAATACTTAAAACAATAAAGTAAATGGCGAGTATAATAACGATATAAAACATTCTTTCAATTCATTAGTGTCGATCCAAAGCGTGCTCGCAAAATCGAAATTATTGTTATTGATCCCAGTTAATTGATAACATTTCCGAATCTCTCGCGCGATGTTCCGTCCGTGTCGATCGCCTTTTATTAAGTAATTAAACTGTACTATTTGTCGCGAAAATTATTTTGTCTCTATTGTCTGTGTTACGCTCCTTAGCAATTTGCATTTTAATTCAATTTATTATAAAAGTAAAATTAGCGATTGCAAGTGACATTTTTTAATTACTAATCGAATCACAATTATGATGTGCTATTGCTATTGTTTACAATTATAATGTGCCACGATAGCACAATAAAGCCGTGCAGAAAGGAAAAAACATATACGCTAAAAGCGACACGAGAGATTTGTTCGTACTGCAATCCCAGTGACAATTTTTCCAGCTCGGCATTGTTAAATGAAAGGCACACATTTTCAGAAAAAAAGTTCGAGGAATACTTCAGCGCGTGCACATGCACGAGATATATATTTGTGAATCTCAACTGGCCAAACATCGGCTAGATCATTGTATCCGATGTTCGGTACGATTTTTTGCCTACTTATACATTGTTACTTTATCGCTATTACCATAATGACGCTGATTATTAATTATTCTATTTGCTATTTTCACTATTTTCATTATTTTATCATTATTATTATATTTTATTATTATTATTATTATTATTATTATTATTATTATTATTATTATTATCATCATCATTGTATTATTTAATACGTTTATTATTTATTAATTGTAATGATGACCTATGTGTAATAAGTTTTGCCAAAGAATCCGTTGAGAGAGCAATATTGCAGAAACGTTTTATAGTCTTCATAGGAGAAAAAACCGATGAAAAGAGCACAATTGTAATATGGAATTGAATATAGAAGATACGAAGAGAAAAACGACTGTGCGCGGTATTTGAGCGATGAGCGGAATTACGAATTCGTTTACGTGAATTATATAATTTGCGAATCGGAGATTTCGACTCGAACGCCGCAACCGCGCATTTTTAATCGAACACACACGATTATCTCATTTTATTTTATTTGTTCCGTGTGATATTCTTGTTCCGTGCGCCGCTCTTGCCGAGTCTCGCTGTTGATACTTGCAAACAAAACCCTGTACATCCTTTTTAAATAAATATGAGGTTTATATATGAAATTTATTTCTACACCTGATTCCCTATAATTCAATTTTTCATGTACATACTATAAATACATAAATAAAATTTTCAAATTTAATATTTAACTAATTTAAATAGCTGCAGAAATCAAATATCTGCAAAATTATCTTTAACAATATAATTAGATATAAAAACTTTTTTAAAAATTTAATATTGCCATTTCACAATTTGTCTAGACATTGAATTAAAAAATCTAAAAAAATTACTCTTCCTTCTATACTGCGTGTATTATAAAACAATAGAAATCAAAGACATATAATTATATTAATGTCAATTCGTATTATACATAAAATTGTAAATATAACAAATATACATTTATTGAAAATTAAATAAAAGTGAACAAAGCTATCAAAAATGAAACATAAAATTACCTTTTCTTTGTAATGACAGTACAAAATACAAAGACTTAGTTTTGTTCATATCAAGAGCTATACTTTGTAAAATTATAGCGTAAAAATTTATTAGTAATTCAAGAAAGTGTATTTAGCGACATCTGTTCAAAGCAATATACACCCTTATATAGAGATTATAGAAAAAATCAATAATAAAATAATATAAGTAAAAAAAAATAATTTTAATAAATTATGAAAGAGAACAAAATATTGCATTATATCGCCAATGTTTTTATATCAAAATTCTTTATTTATTCTCAATGCACTGTACCTGATGGCAATGCATCTTTAGTTGTGAACGTGCATCTCTCCTTTATCGGCGTTATGCAGCTTAACGTTTATCATATCGCGTATAATAAATTAAAACATACTGTTTTATTACATATGTAATAAAACATATAATTTGTGTTATCTCTGTTATAGGCACTAAATTAATTAGGCGTGGGTAAGGATTAATATAAATAGAATATAATTATTTTTCTTCTACTATATAGTATGTATTCCTCTCGTTATTATACGTATATATTCAATAACAGATACACTTCTAAATCTTATAAAAAATAGAAACATTTACGTATACATAAATAATTAGAATGATTGTTATTATATATTTAAGTGTTCAACTGTTCCTTGTAAATTATACAATTGTCTTATATATGGTTAGACATATATTGAAGTAGACATTACTAGCTGCTTATACATTTATGCTTCATTTATTGTAAACATAACTTTCGGCACCGCCTCGTCCGAAACCTGCAATCACATCGATCATTTCATTACGCAAATCTTTAATATTAGAAGTGCTGCAAATCTAATTTGAAAACAGTATAAAGAGCAATAAGATGCGTATGTATAAACGGATGAAATAAGGAAGATGTACATTAATTTAATATATTAAATGCAGGATGGCAATGTTCTACGAAAGGTTTTGAATATGAAGCAGTTTTAGGGGAAACGAAGCGCGTCGCTCGAACCGAGACGAAAATTTCCATTTACCTCCTGGACCGAACAAGGCTGAATAGCAAGGGTGATTGCAGTAGGGTTTCCCTTCGTGCTCGGCATGACCCCCGGGTGTTAAGGTCTTATTGCATTTCTCGCAGCGTAAACACGAACCGTGCCAATCTTTGCCTAAGGATGTCTTCCTCTCGGCTGCAACACAAGATGAATGTTAACGCGCGTCCCGGTGTAACGTAAAAGGCGGTACACCGCGGCGAAACCAGTCGCGCTTTCCATATTAAATTTTATGTTCCTACAGTAATGCGGTATTTGTATTAGAATATCGTTTCCCATATGCCTCTACCGGTGCAAAAATAATCGCTGAAAGAGATAGAAATTAGCGGATACACATATTATAGTAAAAAAAAGATGATGAAAAATATTCTATGTTGATATATTAGGTTGTTAAAGTGAGACATCTGAAATAAAATAAAATAATAGAAACCTCAAAAATAGATAATACGGAGGAAAAAAAATTTTATTTAATTAAAAAGAATGATCTAACAATATTACATTAACTGTCGTTTGTTTTCAGTCTGTTTCACCAGAAATAAAAGAATAAGCATCATATGAGTACATCGTCACGTCGCATCGTCTATATCGCAAATGATGAGAACAAACTCTCCCATTAGCAATTACATAATTAGAAAATCCAATGTCGAAGTCCCGATGGGATCGATCGTTGTCTCTTATTCATTAAAGGCGTGAATGTGAAATATACTCCGGGTGTATTTATAAAGGATTTCATGTCGTCGACGGATTTTGAAAAAAAAAATTCTTAAACCTCTCATATGCACCCCTCATATTATAATACCTGAACCTCTGCAGTTAATTCCCAGATGCATCTATGAAAATTTGCATTGGTGTGCGCGCGTGCGAAAGGGACGTGTAACAACAGGGCTGTTGAGAAAAAAAATGGAGTGATATCAACGAGAAAGCAACGAGAGAATCGATTCATATTATTTTTTTCAAGAGAACTGAGAATTCTAAAAGCATTCCTTCAGATATTAAAATTTTTAAGTTTCACTCTTAAATTAATTCAACCTTATCAACTCTAAATATTTATAAAGATATATAGCTGATCACAGTTGTTTTTTAAATGAGACAGATTTAAATTGATCATTTGAAAACTGTACTATTGTCAATTTTTAGTATAGCTATTCAGATAAGAGATTAAATCAAGTATGAGATTAAACACATTGATAATGATAACTCTAAGTGCTGTTGACTTTATAACATAACGCTACAAATAAAGCTAAAGCACGATTTTCGGAACTTTTCGAATTAGCCTGCCGTTGACATTAATAATTGACTTTTAATATCTTCATTCTTATTTGGTTTGTGCATAGCCAACAAATTCGACAAAAGACTCGCGAAAGCCAAAAACCGATTTCTCTTTTCCTCCGTTGTGTCGCGGGGCAGCATATAGCGCCATTACGGTATATCAAACCTTGCAGGAGAGACAAAAAATGAGGCAAGAACCGCAGCGAGCTGGTGGTTGCATTCAAACGCTTCACCGTGTCTAAGAAGAAGCACAAAGGGCGGTAGCGCCAGCGAGGGAAATTGGAAAATGACGAGACGAGCGTGGTAGATGCATTGGGGAGGAAAGGATGCGTCGGTGAAAGCAAGGTGCAGTGGAGAATGAGAAATAGCAACGTATGGAAGAAGGAGAGAGTGAAAAGGTAAACGAGAGAGGGGAAAAAGAGAAAGAGAACGCGCGCACGGTGTATCGCGGGTAAGAAGGGTACGCGCATAAAGGGCCATTAGTTAATTAACTCCTAATTATCTGGCGACGGAGAAGCGAGTGCATAATCGTCAGCGGTATTCGCCGAGTTGCGCACCGCGCTCGCAACGTGCGAAAAGGCAGAGACAGTACCGTATCCACGAATCGTTGCGCCTAGGCGCCAAACAATCGGCCGCCGTCGCTGATTGCATAGACCCTCGGAACATAATTCCCCGGCCCTTACATCTCTTCGTTTCTTTTACCCTGCAGTTCGTTGGCAGAGACCATCCCCTGCCATCACCGCGATCCTCACCCACGCCTGCATCATCCCGCGCTCATTTCCTTTCAAGCCACCGTCCACATCATCGTGCCCCTTTTCCCTCCCGCCGGCTGCACCGCACCGTCGGAGCTTCTACCCTCCTCCCTCTTCAAGGTCCCCCAGAAAAACCGTTCGGAGATCTCAGATCTCGCATCTCGGTCTCTCCTCCCCTTTTAGCGGGGGTTGTGGCGGAAACCGACCGACTCCTCTCTTCATAGTCTCTCCTACTACCTTTTCGTACTACCTTGCGACTACAAGACCTGACCATTCTTCTCAGCAAACCTGTTTCGTGTGTCTGTGTTGATTAGTATCCATGCGCGCGATATATACTGTCTATGTTTCCTTTGTGTTATCCTCACGGCTGGACGGTTTATTGTTGCACTCGGCGCAACTCAGCGACTCCGCCCGATGTAGTTTTTTCCTTCTCATCCTTCTATCTCTCACGTCACGATTATTTTCTATTTTTTTCCCCCGTTTTGCATTAGCATAATAGTTTTCTATGCAAAATGTTTAAATATAATGCATAAATTTATTGTTTATCTAGTATTTTTTGTACGGTATAAATTAAAAGATATACGTATATATACATATGCACATATATCTAAGAATAATTTTATACATATATTATATATAAAGAAATTATTCGGCAAAATACAAACATACAAAAACAATTTAATTGCTTATGTAAAGAGTCCAATAATTTCCATGTTTTTGAGTGCATTTTAATATGCGAAAAAAAATGATATTCATTTATTTGTTCGTGACGCATCAAAAGTATGACTGTTACTATCAATGAGCTTTAAAAAAAAAAAAACAAGCTGCAAGAGCTCGATTAAAAATGCACGTCTAAATGCAAAATTCGCGCAAGAATAATCTTTTTAGATTTGCACTTTTAGTTATTAACAAAATGAGATAAATTAAATATATATTGGATTTTTTTTTGTAGTTGCAACAACTTTGAGATTGAGAAAAATAAATTGAATCGCCCAATACTACACTATACTACATAACAATTGTCTGTCCACATTGTTTATCTAGGATCGAACAGAGTTACTATGCGCGATGCGCACTTTAAAGTGCATAGTCGAATATAGATAACGTTATCGCAGCATTTTGTCAACTACTAACTTACGGTACAAGTTACAACGTGCGGTATAATACCGAGGTGCATTTAAGGAGGTTTCGAGGTCGTCTCCTCGTTTTCGACAAGTATCATTGATAACGGTTGGCCGATTTTCGAAGTAAAGCTGATGATACAGAGTCGAATCATGGCACGCATCGACAGAGAATATTGCGTAGAAGTTATTTGTTATGAAACAAGAGTGCAACGTTACGCGTCGTAGACTTAATTTCATGTAAATACGCGGCGCCTCTCGCAGGTGCAGCTCCTGTTACATAACTACGGATTGAGTTTATTCTATAGAAACTGAGACTGGATTACTCATTCACTCCACTCGTAGTAAACTGGAGTCTGTATAAAGTAAAACTGACATAATGTTTGCTGTGGTGAATTCCGAGGTCGTTCAATGATATCATTGATGTCGTCACCGCGCATTTACCATTTCGAGTATTGTATATTTATGCGTTCATCTGATATTCTATACGTTTCTTGTACAATTCGAGACTTATAAATCCAGGCAAAAGAAGAGTCGAGAAGGATATTCTGTATTAATTTTTCATCAATACTTTATCAAAACTTTCGAGAAAAATCAAAGTAAAATATAAATAGCATACAAAAGTTGTAACATTGACGTTTCAAAATATTATTGTTATGTCTCATTTATCAAAATTGTGATTTCTGCTGTATGCTTTCGGAAAGACGGAAATGAGTATAATATAAGAATACGGTTTTACATTACTAATTTTAACATTACTATAACTTTACATTACTAATTTTGAAATTTGTGTCAAGCATATTGCGTACACACGTACATACATTTAATCATTTCAATCTTTTTCTATCAAATGACGCATATATGTACTTATGAAGTGGATTGTGATTATCATATTACGATTATCAATACAAGATACTCAATAACCTCTTTTCTTTACTATACTGTATAAGTGATCGATGTATTATATTATTATTTAATTGCAATTGCGTTGTAATAAAAGCACCCCTAAAAAAATTATGAGAAATAAAATTGTACGTACTTTCAGCGTACTCTACTTCCATTCTTGTAGACATAAAAACGACATAAGAAAATAATTCAAACACAAAAATATATTATATAAGAATCACGTTCAATCTGTTTAACAAATTTAGATTTCAATGCTATGGACATGACCTTTGCTCACAATAGTTAGTGCAAAGTACAATTCTTCGTCAATTGATAACATCAAAAATTCAACTCATTCCCATTGTACTGGTTTCAATGTTTTGTAACAATGTTGCGATAATGATCGTTATCTTACCGAAGTACACAGGCTTGTCGCACTTTGGACAATTGGGCATCTTGTTATGTGTCGTGGAGGACCGGCTTCTAGTCCGACGAGGTTGTGCGTGTAACTAACAGGAGGATGCTCTCAGCGACGTGGTCAGACGCGTACTGGCCCTGAGAGCCTGGCAAGGTAACGCAACGCTCTCCAGTTGATTGAGCGTGTGAACGTGTGTTAAGGCTAACGACTGTACGAATACACGACGAGAGCTCGACTACGGCCGCGTGTGTTTAAGCATCGTGCAAATGTTACCTGCTCATCGTTATGTAATTTGGTGTGCGAACATTTACCGTATATACAATGTATTTTTTCGTTGTGGATCTTTTAATCCATATTCTAATTAAAAATTTTACTACTTATAGAAAATATCAAAATGTAAATAATTTTGATCAAAGATTTACTAAGAAAATTAATAAATTATTTTATAAATTATTAATAAAAAAAAGAAAACACCCAAGAAAAGCAAAAGAAGTGGATAAGAAGTCGATAGAAGGGGATATTCAAGACACTTTGTATACATGTACAGATCTTCGAGCAGTAACGGATAAAATCGAACTTGGTTTCGTTCAATGCATTCGTTTACTTTTCTTCGGTCACTGGCTGGAATAATCCTGTTAGCTATTGTGAACAAATTTGTTATCAAAATTGTGCGACGCAAAGGTTCACGAGTATCCAGATCGATAGTTTGATTATGCGCGAATAACGGAGCTGTTCGAAGTATCGAACGACGGAATGCACTCGCTTCGAAGGTATTTACTCATAAAACTGCAACGCGATACCCGCGAAATTAATTAATTATCGGAATTTGGGTCGGGGAGCTACGCCGTGCAGCGTCAGAGCGTAGCCAGAGGGCGATGTGGGAAATGCCGCTGTAAATTTTGGAATTTATTTTAACGAGATTATACAAATATCCGGTCAAGAGTTATTCGCCATCGTTCAAAAATTCAACTGCAATATTTACTTTTTGTAATGCATATACATACATATTGTATAGACACCCTAATAGAATACGAGACTTTTATCTGCAGGTAATAGCAGCTGAGTGAACAGAAAATGTTGAAAATCTGTATAATTATATGTCAATTAGTTAGTTACAAACTATAGAATTTTATTATAACATCTTATTAATTTAATCGAAGCTATCGACTTAAATTAACATGATTTTAAAATAAAATATATTGTATCAAAATATAAAGGATGTTATCATATCCTTTGCATACCACATCCGACTGATAATGATTAGATATATATATATATATCGTTAATTACGCGCATTGTGCGTCAGTTTCTCACGAGCATTATACGGTCGTGGACCGATCAAATCATGTCGTTAACGCAAAAAAGAAAAATCACAATGCAAAAATACGATTTGAATCATATCGCGCTCATATTAGCGATCGAGAATGAAGAGTTTGACAAAGCAAGTGAAATTTTAGCACGCGATAGCGAAAATAGATATGTGCGTCCAGTCGGTTCCCTTCAAGTGACAGCCCTGCAGATGGCTGCGTGGCAAGGAAATATAGATCTGTTGAATGAACTCTATAAGAAAGGCGCTGACATAAACAACAAGGATAAATATGGTAGAAGCGCCCTTTATTACGCGGCACACAACGGTAATATTGACGTGACAAAGTGGCTTCTTCAACACGGAGGACAGATCAATATCAAAGTCGGTATCTACTCGTGTACCATCCCAGATTTTTCGCTGCCAAAATGCTGCGTCTTAGGAAAAAAAGTACGTATCGCGAAGATAATTAACATTACTAAAGTAAAAAAAAAACAGAAATTACCTCCTTTTTTCGTGTTTTAGTTGCCGTTACCCATGTGCTGGGGAAGAACGCCGTTGCATCAGGCGGTAAAAAATAATCACGCAGACGTCGTGCGCGTTTTGGTGGAAGGCGGTGCGGATGTAAACGTTGAAGACAAGCGCCTGATTACTCCGTTGCTCTTAGCAGGAAGCGCGGTGAATTGCCATGATCTCAATGAGATGACTAAGTTCGTCAAGATCATTAGGATTTTAGTTGCCGCGAAGGTGTTCGTTAACATTATTCATCCGGACACGGGTATTAGTCAATTAATCGAGCATTACGCATGCAATGTCGATAGAACCGCGCATTGCTGTGGTTTTTTTTATCTGACCACAAATTCGTCATTACTGAAAGAGATTTTAAAAAATGTCATCTATGTATGTGTCATTTGTAAAACAATATAAATATAATTACGTTTAATTCTGCTAGGTACCACTGCTTTACATCATGCGGCGATGTTAGGTAGTGCAGATGCGATGAAGATATTACTGTCAAATGGTGCAAAGCCGATGTATAAATGCATGAGTTCCGGAAGCACGCCTCTTCATATCGTCGCGAGTACAGGGAACATCGAGACACTAAAGGTTCTACTTGAAGTAATGCAACGTCATAATATTGACACACGCGATCAGGTTAGTTACGTTGAACACTGCAGTTCGAGGATAACAAGTGAAATTGTACAAGACAAAATTATATGTATATATATATTACTTATTTGCTTAGATCAATCGTACGGCTCTTCATAGAGCGTCTTATCAAGGTCATCGTGAATGCGTACGAGTTTTGATCAGTCATGGAGCTAATTTAGCCGCGGTTACGAAAACCGGTGTCACCGTCATTGATGCTATATTCGCTCATATTTCACAACCATTGGCTTTTTTAACAGATATCTTGGATTCTTGCGTACGAACGACCAATAATTCTCCTTCAGAAAAATACGAGAATGTAAGGATCGCTTATGTCTTTCGAGAGAGATTCTTAGTGCAGATACAGATATTCCATTTCTTATTTTATTTTGTTGCTTTTACTAAACTCTAATGAATGGAATGTCTCTGTTAAAGATCACTGTCGACTTCAGTATATTGGCACCAAAGAACCAAATGCAAATGGCAGTAGTCACGGCCATTGTAGCCGCAACTTCAGATATAAGGCAACTGGCAATATTACAGCATCCACTTGTGGAGACATTTCTCAAACTAAAGTGGACGAGATTAAGGATACTTTTCTTTTTTTTTATACTTATATACTTGTTTTTCGTTATTTCCCTCTCGGTCTACGCAATAATGTTTGCACATGGCGATGATCACATGGTGACTCGAAGAATCCTAACGATCTGTTCTTGCTTTCTTTTGTTTCACAATACGATTCAAGTTATATTAGAACCCAAGTAAATACGCCTTCAAATAAAATTTGAATTTTCCAGTTAATTTATACTTTGATATATATTGCTAAACATTCCAGGCATTATTTGAGACAACTCGAGACGTGGTTATCATTTATATGCGCCATGCTATCCTTGGTAACATCGATAGCGGGCGAGTTTGTAAAGTGCTCAAAGAAAGAAAGTGAGCCTTGCGCATACTGGGTGCTACATTCCATCAGTATCGCAATCTTATTGAGTTGGATGCAAATGATGTTGTTAATTAGTCGAATTCCAATGTGGGGATATTACGCGCTCATGTTTTCCATGGTGTTGAAAAACATTTTAAAGGTTAGCCGAAACAATTGATGAATCTTTTTTTTTTTAGAATATTCTCTATTTTACTACGATTTATTATACGTTCTACAAAAATTTAATTCAACAAAATACAAAAATACAATTAACATTTCAAAATGTCAAATCCATTTTTATTTATTTATTTATTTTTAAGTCAATGCACTATTCATACAGGGTATCTTATAATAGGTGTAACACACACCGTTTATGGCGTTAAATTGCAGAATAGAAAAGTCCTGTCATTTCGCGATTTTCACAATGATAAACTAATGAGAAGTTAGAACTAATAAAGATCTGCGAATGAGCATATATCTATGTGATTCAGCAGCAAAAGGCAGCCCATCATTATGTATTATTAACTGTTGTTAGAAACGTATTCTTTCTAATGTTTCGCTATATACATGGCAACCGTAATCAGTACGTAATGTTGGGCTATTTTTATTTCGTCGCAAAAATCGCCCGAATGTACGCTGATTCGCAGATCTTTATAAATTAATTTCTCATTAATTATTACGAAAATCGCAACATGGTAAAAACTTTTCTTTTCTTTTTACTCGGTCTATCTATTCATGAGCGGTGTTATACCTGTTATCAGACACTCAGTATGTATAAGAAGAAACTTGATAAACGATTAGAGTAGCTATAACTCAAATCACGTGATTTATTTTATGCATACTCTTTGATCTCAAAATTTTATCGCTCAGACTAATGAGTCTCGCACTTCTTATGATGAATTCTTTTATTACAATGATGTGGCATAGATAATTATCAAAACAAAAAACAAATTCAAACTTAAAAAATCGTGTCAATAATATCACATTAAAATTTGTTTTACGCACTATTCTTGCTATTATAAAGATATACCAAAGCTTTTTATTCCCTTTTAGGTTCTTCTGGCGTTTGGTTATTTGATTGTCGGATTTGCGTTGAGTTTTGCTGTTTTATTTTACCGAATGAATGATCAATTTTACGATTTCTGGAGCGCCATCGTAAAGACTGTGGTAATGATGATGGGCGAATACGAGTATAAGGATCTATTCAAAGAAAACAGTGATTTTCTATCGGTCACAAGCAAAATCGTGTTCATCATTTTCATCCTCGCCAGTATCGTTCTGATCAATCTCATGATCGGTCTAGCAGTCAACGACATTCAAGGACTCGAAAAAGAGGTACGATATATGAATATTAAGAAATAATCCTGAAAACTCTCACGCCATTCAATACGGATGTCTTCTAATTGCTAAAAGTTACATATAAGCAATATATACAACAGCTCGATATTCAGATTAATCAGCATCGAAATTAATATTGTCACATTAATTATAGGGCCATATACGTCAATTATTGAAACAAGCGGAATTTGTCGCACATTTAGAGAGGGTGACATCACACCGAATCTTTAGCAGTAATTGGCTACATCCTCGCTTAAGAACGCTCTTGCACTCGAGACGCGATATTCTCACAAAAATTACGCTGGTCTCTCGTGAAAATTATTTTCATCATACAAGTCATTTTACGGAAGCGCCTCCTAAGATTCCCGCCGATCTAATGGAAGCTTTATTTCTATTAGCCACCAAGACATCTTTCAATAAGTATGGATTATACAATTTGTGTAAAGAACATTTTTCCGTTCTTACAGTACCGGAAATTGAAATTAAATAATGTATAACGCCATATTATTTTTTAGTTTGGCGGACAAAAATATAGAATTTGGCGATGCGAAGCTAACTTCCATACTATCCAATTTAGAAGAACAAATTCGGGAATTGAAAACACATTGTTACCGCAATATGACGAATCGAAGATTGTCGAAACGACGCGGATTTAAAAGCAAGCCTGTCCAAAAAAGGTTTATAAATACTTAATACATTGCGCATTGCAATTGTTTCTTAGTGTGCTGGATATGGTATTAGTTTTATAGCAACGTTTATTGTAATCATTAATTAAAGTACCATAAAAAATTTTAGTAATGTATAATATTTATAAATATAAAACAACATGTTTTTTATAAAATAAAAATTGGAAAGTGAAATACACACGTGCAAAACGCTTGCGCATAATGGTAAGTCAGTGATCCGTCTTATCTTCTCAGTATAAAGACGACCTAATAGATATATCATACAGATGTCACCACGGAACTAGTTCAAATTGTTTTTAAATTTTAATTTTTTGCAACTACCCGCGCGGAACCAATAATCACGATTCATATCGACCAAATTTCCTCGACACAACTAAATTTTGATTACTTATTCATATTGTTAATTTTACATACGTGTCTCCCCTTTTATTTAGTTGAGCTAGTCAATTTCATTTATAACAGAATCAAAGAAACCCTGAGCTTTATATTTAATTTCATTAAAACATAATTTAGGACGGCCAGGCAAGATTTATGTGTAATCACCGATAAGGCTGAATTACGCAATAATTAACGATATTTACGGTAGTATGTTAAACGTTAGATCGTCGTTTCGTCGCATTCGAAGTATTCGAATGCGACACGCGCTGCTGTACCTCTGGATATATGCCGGTATTAAAGATTTTTTATTTTTCAACCATGATATGTATTTAACTGGCGGGTTTTGCGTGTTCGTGTCTCCATATATCCGGCTACTAAATAGCCGCGCGTATTACTCGCGATGTAGCGGCAGCAGCCGAGAATTACGCAGCCGAAAAATATTGCGGAGCATAAATTATAAGCCGGATAAGTATATTTGCAAAATGTACGCTCTTTCCCAACGGTATATCGTGGCGGCAGCGAGATCCCACCATAAAACGTGCAATTTTGCTGTCTTACTCATTCCTAGTATTCCTATTTAATTCTTTATTATGTGGAACCCGAATAATAATTTTATGAAATTCCTACTGATAATACGGAAGATAAAAATCTATATAACATAAAAGGATACAATATTACGGAACTTTATTTGAATTCTATTTCGCGAATAATGTCACGCCTGATTATGTCATGTACTGCAGTAAATTGCAATAGGACCAACATATTGAAACGCTTAAATAGCCGCGTACTCATTTCGAAGCGTATATGTTAATCATGTAATTCCGTACTACCTACGTATGATAGATCCATTGCATTCGTAAAGTTTGCGAGACTAATTAAAAATTTATTAAAATTATGAAAGAGCTGCACTCGTAAAGTGATGCGGCTAAAATTTAGTTTGGGCGACGCGCTTTCTAAAAAGGAACAACGGCAGCAAAAAGCGAGAGTCGAAAAACTCACTGAAAGAGACTCGCGAGAGGAGGCGGCTCTCATCGGCGATGCGAATTTAGATGCTTTCATGACGTATTAAATTCGCTTGTATGTCGGGGTTCTGTATATATTTCAACGGCGTTTCAGCGGCACGCATCACGATTCGGCGGTATCGTCGGTATAATTTCGAAAGAGCGTCGAAAATACAGCGGCGCTGTTTTCTCGATTTTGCAGCGCCGTCATAGGAAACATGACTATTTCGGATTTTTCCTTTCGGTTCGTACATAATTTTCAGAAATCCGAAACGTGAACGCGCGCGTACACGATATGATCTCTCGCCATTATTACGGTGCAAAACCAAAATACAAAATTACAGAGGAAGATTTATATGTTTATCGCGCGCACAAATCGTGATTGAAAGCGGAAAACACAGAATAACTACTTCGGTAAAATCATATTATAAAAGAAAACCTCATTGTGTGCGTAATATTTTTTGCAAAGTCAGTTCCTTATATTTATTGATAAATGACTCACAATATTCAATTTTTATAGCAACATAAAATGTTTACTGCGCGAGTTTATATTGCGAGTTTACTCAGTAACGTTAGGTAACTTTATACGACAATATACTAATTAACCGCTAAAATTGGCTACAATGAGCGATATAGCGGATATATAAATTATCATAAATTACTACGTTCTTCCGTGATAGTGGCTCAAGAAATCACGCGTGTGCACCTGCTCTTATGGTTTCACACAGAAGCGCACGTTCACGCGTGTGTTCACGTTGATTGAATAATAAATTCGTGACAATCCTGTCATTTTTATTTTTTGATCAATGAATATATTACTCGACAAATTTTTCGATTCGATAAGAAACTGGAAAATAAGAAAAAGAGAGAATTTTCGACTAAAACAGTAAAAAAAAAACAAAAAAAAACTTGCAACGATTCACCTAGCAATAACTTTCAGCGCGATATTTACAAACTTGATCGGTATGATGACAAACGTGCGCGCGCCCGCGCGTGGCTATTCATCTTTAAAGCTTGAAAATAAACAGAATAAATAAGAAAAAATCGTTTGTATTTTCCTACCTTCGTAGATCAGGTGGTAGACAACGTGGGTAATTCGTGAAGAGAGGACAGACGCATCGACGACCGTGGAATATCGTTGGCGATGAAAAGCGCGATTCTTTCATCAAACAAGAGCTACGAAGAGGACAACCAGAACGACGACACAACACGTTGATGGTAGTGTGGTAGTGGTAGGCAGCGACCAGCACGGGCAGCAGGCAGCAGCGACGGAGGAGGCGACGCGGCAGGAGGAAGAGGAAGAGGCGGCGGAGGTGGCGGCAGTGGCGGCGGCAGCGGAGACGGCGCGGGCGCGGGCGCGGGCGCAAGGCTGACAGCACGGCGCCGGAGCACGCTCGGGTGAGATCGTACTCTCTCGGGTGGAATCGGTTCGCCGCCTTGCCTGCCATGACTGGCTGAGCGCGGCATCGCGGGGGAGCGAGGTGGCGCGTCGGCGAGGGAAACCGCCGCGGTGAATCCGGCGTCGTGATTGGTCGACGCGTGGGAGAGCCGCCCGCCCGACTCCCGAGCTCACCGTTGCCGGCAGTCGGCACCGAGCATCCAAGTAGACCGTGTCGAGAGATTCGGAGTCGGGTCGAGATACAGATATACGCGGGAACGACACGCAAATCTCGAACATTGCTTTTTACACACACGACGGGCACGATGACCGCTCGGCGCGTGCACCGTCCGCAACAACAACAACAACAACAACAACAGCAACTACGACAGTGGCGTAGTAGTAGTCGTGGTGCCGCATTTGTCGCGCGTCGTGTCCATCGTACGGGGGGCCCGTTCACGGAATCGCAGTATCGTGCGCTCGCAGAAACATCGTGGCCACCGTCTTTGTGCAAGTATGCTACGTCGTGCAGCAAATCGGGCTCGCGGTGCGCGCACTGAGAGGTCCACCCGCAGCAGCTAACGTTAAAAAGAGAGAGAGAGGAAACTAGGAGCGAGTGGAGGAACAACGCGCGCCTCGCTCCGCTGTAAACTCTGCGCATTAATACGTGACGGGCCCCTGCCTTCTGTACATCACCTACCTCTATTCCGCTGCGCCGCATCTTGCGGCTCCTCTCTCATCGCTTCTCTCTTTCTCTCTTAACATCCTACGCCGCTTCACGCCCTCCTACCTCCTACTCCTACGGTAGCGGCGACTCGACCTTCCCACGCGTATCTCTCTCTCCGACAACGACGACGCCGCCGACCGGAAATTAAACTCGCGCGCGAAAAGCGCGGGGATAAAGTCGTGACTCCGAGACTCTCGAGAGGCGCGCCCGGCCGTCTCGTCTCGTACCGTCGCGTCGTGCGTCGCGTCGCGTCGCGTCGCGTCGCGCGGAGTCTTCTAACTTTTGGAGTACGCCACGGTTGTCATTTTGACTGGCGTCCCCAGCCGAGTACATTCGAGTGTCGCGACGAAAGCAAGAGTCTGGCTCTGGCTCTCGGGTCAAGTGTTGCGGCCTAATCTCGTCGTTCAACTGTTAGCACGCGAGACGAGACCGGAGAACGCGCGGCGGTCAGTCGGTGCACGGTGGCCAGTGGCGACAGTGACGCGGTGAACGATTCTGTGCTACAAAGTTGTCTCCGGTCACGTTTGTTCGCAGACCGTTGATCCGACGTTCGAATTCTGACGCGTGCGTTTAGTGAGACGCGAATCGAATGTGAACAGTGCTCCGCGATCGCGATCTTCGTTTCGGTTCTTTTCACTACAGTGCTAACGATCGCGCTGTCGGCCATCGCTCGAAATTACCGCCGACGGCGACGGACAACGTTCGACTTGGAAGCTTTCAACTTCTCGCCGTGAATGCAACTGCCTGCCGACGGAGACGAGTCGATTGGCAAGTAAGGAATACGAGAGAAGACATCAGGGAAGACGGTGGCCGTCGCTCGCGTGCCCACAATAATGCCGCACGTGAGCAGCAGCGGCGGCGGCGACGATCTCGGCAGCGAAGACGAGGTCAAGGTCTTCAAGGATGAGGGCGAGGAGGAGAAGAGGTCCTCGGAGAACCTTACCGAGGACAAGAGCGATCTCATTGATCTCACGGAATCCGAGGTGCGACACCACTCATTTCTTCGTTATACCATCAACTTACTTTTCCTTCTTCTCCATTGCTCGTTGTTTCGTGTCTCTCGCGATATGTATTTTTCATATATATTTTCCCAAATAACTCTGTAGTCGCGGGATACCAAACATTAAGTGCGTGCATGTGTGTTGCAGGAAAAGGGCACGCTCGCCGGTGGGACCTATGCGACGACGGGAAAACCGTCTGCGAGATCCGACCTCAGTCCCGTTTTCGGTAAGTCTCCAATTTTTTACGAGTCGCTCGAAACTTTCTGAGCTTACTCATTTAGCTTGCATTTTAACGATTAAAATGTTCTTTTCGCCGTTCTTACTTTCCGTTTGGTATTGTGTATTTGATGCACAGTTATTATACGTCCGCGCGAAAACATAAAAAAGTGATGATAGTTTGCTGAAGGCTAACGCTCGATATTTCGCAAACAACGCGGGAAATCATATCGACGCCAATTTCGTCGCGTGAGTTTAATTATTCGTTAGCCTCCCCTGTAATCCTACCAAGTCAACGGGATCGATACATCATTCCGTTGCGTCGTGATAAACAGCTGGTTGGAGATTTATTTAAACGGAAGTAATATATGTAAGAGCACTCGTGTATAAAGTGTAATGTAATTTTAATTTTACATGGTGATATTACTACACATTGTCAAGTTTTTCTTAAAAATTACCATTTTCTCTTTAAATATCTGTATAATCGACGCCATTGTGTAGAAATGCTCCAAATCCAATACCATGTATCGATGATATCACGTCAGAAATAACGCAATGTACCGTATCGTATCGTTAGAAGTAATTCCCTGTAAGTAGACTTTGCGACGTGAGAATATCATAGTTCCCGGCAATTGATCGCGGAGTACGAAGGAATTAAATAATGAACTATCAACGGCGTGGCGCGGCGCGGCGCGACGTTTCCTAATGGTGTCCGCGTCTGGGTTTAGTTCGATATCGCGTCATAACGCCGCACCAGGTATCTTGTGTGTTGCCTCGCGCGCTTAGATTAACGTCATTTGAAATCGATCGCGGCACGATAAGTGCCTACTCTCGTAGCCGCTTTCACGGTCCGATGATAATCGCGTCTGTGTGTGCGCGCGCTCTGTGTCGGCTAGGGAAAATATGTGACTCGGATTCCCGGCGTATGGTTGTCCACTGGCCGCGGTGCTCCTATTAATTTCCTCGCCATTACGCTGCATTACGTTGCACGTCGTCACCGTTCGAAAGGTTCTTCTCCGTCGTCGCCGTCGTCGTCGTCGTCGTCGTCGTCGTCGTCGTCGTCGGCGGCGGCAACGGCGGCGGCGGCCTTATTGCCCACACTCTCCCGTCGCAATAATCGCAAACGCCGGAGGCGTCGACAACGACACTTAAACAATTCTACGCGTGAGAGAAAGTGAGAGAGAGAAAGAGATATATGCGACGTTGCTCTTATTGGCACAACGTCAATAAAAGTTACTTTATAAGTCGTCTCGAATCGCGTTCTCTTTCCTGCTTTCAAAGGTCATCGCCAAAACACTGATTGCTGCGCGAGCAATGATTACAGAGAGACGTATCAAAGAAGTTTGGAATCGATTCGTGGAATGCATCAAGTTTATCAGTATGTACATTAAATGAGTCAAAAATTTCTAATCACTTTAATTTTATCTTGGTTTTATCATTAGCGATTATCTCCCTGTCTTGATATTAAATATTCATACGCATCTTGGAATGCATATGTTAGATTGAAGATTTACGTTCTTATTCTAGAACTGACTCGAAATTCTTTAGAAAACAATATATTTCGAGGAATAGAAAAGTAATATTAATCGCTGAGATTGATGCAACCCTTGTATAAAGACCTTGTATAAATGGCGGCCGTGAAACGTCGGGCCGCGATAACATTACTATAACGTCTCGCAGAAAAATTCAACTAATGTAAACAATGCAGTAAACTTGAACGCGCAACGTGTGTTACTCCTGATATTCTCTTTCGAAAGAAGAAACATCAAGGCCATGTATCGTTATAGTATACGTTTTTCGCAATTTTTTAAACCTCTCTCTCTCTCTCTCTCTCTCTCTCTTCTCAATATTATCTATAAATTTCTAGAACTACAGCGTAAAATCTGAGGTTATGTTTTTAACATCACACAATAACATTAAAATTACAAATGCGAGAAGTTAAAAGGTTAAAATTAGTGTAATTCCGTAATTCAAAAGATTTCCGATTATAATTATTAATAGTAGTTGATAACACACAGAAAGAACGATTTTGCTAAAAATTTTGCAGGATACAGATCTGAAAATAATTCTTTTCGGACCATCAAAATAATTTTGTTGGAAAGTCTAAACTGATTGCTAGAATATCAAAATGTTTTACAGTAATATTTATCATTTTTGAATTTCCAACAAAAGTATTGCCTTATTCAAATTTTTTTGACCTTCCAGCAAAATTGTTCTTTTCGTGTATAATAAGATTTAGATCAATTTTTCAAGGAACTTAGGAACTTGGGTTTTTTTCTCAAATTCCTTTCAGTTCCTTCAACTTCAAGCAGGGAAACAAACTTTTCAATTTTTGTCCAAAAAAACGCCCTAACGTTTTTAATATCTTCCCATTACTTAAAAGTTCAGAGGTTGAGTCTACTCCAATTTGTCAATTGTAAAAAGGAAGTTAAACAGAGTTTACGAGTGACAGATTCATTCGGAACAAATCGCCTCGACGTGTTGGTAATGTATACAATGAAGTGCGTGCCTGCCGTTCTCGTGACCAGTTAGTTCTTCCTCTTCCCTACCAGACTTTGTCACTGACAAATCGATGTCGCGCTACCGCGCACGCTGTCATGCTGTTGCCAAAACATTTTAATGAGTTAACGTGGCCGTACATTTCCTGCCGCATCCTTTGTTCGAGATGTTGCAGGCACGATTACGGTATTATCTGGAGAGCGTGATTATCAAATATATCGAAGTCTCGATTCTTAAAAATACCTTACGTTTTATGATTTATGGCAATACACACGTACATACGAAATTTCTATAAATAATCCTTTATAAATGCGGATTTGTTTGATTTTCATTTATCCCCCCTTGTTATTTGTTACATTATATCTCGAAACATATGTATAAATGAGTTTGTGATCGTCAATTATATATGTCGTCCTATAAAAACTTATAGTTTTTTCCATTGATCAGATTCTGTTGTCGCGCCATAGATCACTTTCGTTTCATGTATGTACATACGAGAATACGTGCGAATATTAAGGAGGCAGAGGAAAGGATTCATTGCACTCACCGTCAGAAAACGTGTAAAACGTTACGTCGGGATCCGTTGTAATCGCTTAAGTGGTTAATTATGGCTCTTCAAGGAAGGCCGCGCGCGAGGCTCAAGCGGAATTAATCTTGGCATCGGCCGACTTCACTAGAGCCGCTTCACATTTCCTTTTTTTTTTGTCGCTTGTCCGTATGAAAACTAGTTATTCAGATATGCCGAGAAAGTCGAGATTGTACGGAACACGTCACACATTCTGACGTCATTTTTAACCAAACACGATTCACTCCTCGAGTTGACATATAGTACCTACATACACGTGAATCAATGGTAAAGCTTAATATATGATGCTTATATCAGAATTTGTTTTCTTTCACCCCTATAGTTTCTACGCTTATAATTAAAAACGAAATACAAAATAAAGATACGAATTTACACATAGAAGAATCCGCATTTTTTACATTGAAATTTTTGTTGCGCGCGACGCGATATATTTTTATGATAATCTAATACACTATTGCCTGCTACACCTATCAATTACCGTAAAAAAAATATTACACGCGCGCACACACAGAATATGTGTTCACGCGAGTGTCTAATTAATATTATTATCATTAACATATCGTAATACGCAATACTCGAGTATTTCATTAGTATTCATGTCATCAGTTTAGCGTTTCTGTATGCGACCACATTCTGTTAATCTATCTATATATATAAATATCTATATATATAAAAAGAAAAATCTAGATCCGTGGGGAGGGAAAATATGACTTTACCAATCTCGTTACATTTTCTCGAAGTGCTATTCGATTAAAATCGCTCGATTTATTTCACGACATGTATAACTAATTGCCACAAATTCTTATTATTTAAAGCAAAATAGTTATCAAAATTGTTTTGTCATCTAACTACAAAGTGTCGAACGGAAATCAACGATTCAATTGAAATAAAAATCTGTGCAAAATATGTACAAAATAAAATTTCGTATATATCGTGGGCGAAAACGATAGTGATCGGACGACTAGCCACCAAAGCTTTTACTGCAAGTTTGACTTTGCTGCAAGTGAGCGTAACCGTTGCGACATACATTTGAACGTACGACGTGATTTAGGCGACAGTTCGGACGATTGCAAAATATTTTGTGCAAAATTTTCTTTATTTTTCATATTTATTGCAAAGTTGGCGCGTTAATATCACAAAAATATGATTTTGGTGAGAGCAAAAATCTCTATCTATTTTAGTTGTAAATTTTTATAAAAGTTATTCCAACATACAGTTTACCTTTTTACAAAGTGTTTATAGTAATTATTATTTTCCTCTCTTGGCCATTTTTGAGCAATCAAATTTAGCTATCTCCTATATACATATAAAAATATGAAATAAACTCACAACATGCTATTCGCCCACTGTTGTTGGTGTAACGCATAATGGTACGTCTACGTTTGTACGCGATTTCTTCCGGTGGTACGTGGGCACTCGCAAAAGCACGCCTTTCGATACACATACTTTGTCGCTGCTCGGAAACCACCTCCGCGCGTTCAGATTGCACCTCAGACTTTGCGGATATACGATGCGCAGTGCATCATAGTGTGCTCTGAAGATTGAGAGAAAAAAAAAGAAGTGAGACGGTAGTGAAAGGTAGAAAGAAGGAGTTAGAAACGATGTGTCTCGTTGTGCGAAGTAATTGACGAGTTCGCGTGTAGGCGGTCAGGCGCCTAGATCGCCTCGAGCACACCATACGCTTATCCCCAGAAACGAAAAACGGAACGAAACGAATAGCCCCGACGGGCGAGCGCGAAATCGTAAGAGAGAGAGAGAAGAGGAGGAAGAGAGAGCTCTTCTTCGTAAAGAAGAGGCGAAGAAACGAGACGTTGCGAGAGCGAGAGAATAAAAGGCCAGAGAGAATCACAACGCGAGGAGAGGAGAGACCCCGCTGCTGCATCACCCTGAACTTGCCCGAATACCTTCCCTCCGAACCGTACGAT